GACATCGGGGGGGGTTTGGGGGGTCCTGAGGACATCGGGGGGGGTTTGGGGGGTCGTGGGGACATCGGGGGGGGTTTGGGGGGTCGTGGGGACATCGGGGGGGGTTTGGGGGGTCGTGGGGACCCCCCCATCGCTGACTCGATCTTGCGGAGCGTGGCCCGGCTGGCTCAGGGATGAGGTTTCTCCTCTCTCGGGTTTGGAGCCTGCGGATCTTCGTGGGGTTCACTGGTTTTCTTCAGGAGTCCCAGTCTGGGGAGTAAAGAAATCGGGGGGGGGACTCTCCCCCTGCCTTGTGTTCCAGTTTATTTCTCTGAAGGGGAATCCAGAGGATTCCAAAGGAATCCAAAAGAGAGACCAAGGGTTGGGGGTCTGGGGGGTCTCCTTTTAACAGGGATTTTTGGAGGGAGGGAACCTCAGAGACAGAAACGATCGTTTTTCTCAGCTGCAAGCTTTCTGCAAATCGCGGTTGCACACACCAAGATAAGAAATAACAAACAGCGACCTCTCCAAATGCCCGCAGAGGTGTGGGAGTATTCTCCGGAGAGGGGGGCTTGCTTTCCTGGCAGCACAGGGGGGAAAGGAAGGGAAGGGAAAGGAAACAAATGCTCTCAGCTCCCAGAGCTCAGAGCCGTTCTGGGACAGGGAAAAACAGAGTTACAAACTCCCGGCTTGGACAGAAGGGTCTCTCTTCTCCCAACCCCGCGCTTCCCTGGGCTAAAGAAACCTCAAGCAGCTGGAAATGCCAGCGGGGTCCTCTCTTTGCTCCATCCGCGGGGCTGAGCGGGGAAACTTCGGTGGCCGTGAGATCTCGACGTGGTAAAGAATTAGGAGAAGGAGAAGCTGGGGGGGAAATCGCAACTGAAAAAGGGGAAAAATGCATTTGAGTCTCTGAAGTGCAGCAGCCCGTCAGCCTCCCCACCTGTCCGCAGGTGTTCCTGGTGCTGACGCTGCAGCTGACCGTCACCTTCGCCTTCGTCACCGTCTTCACCTTCGTGAGCGGCGTGCGGGGCTTCGTGCAGCGCAACGTGTGGACGTACTACGTGTCCTACGCCGTCTTCTTCATCTCCCTCATCGTCCTCAGCTGCTGCGGAGACTTCCGCCGCAAGCACCCCTGGAACCTCGTGTCCCTGGTGGGCTGGGGGGCACGGGAATGGGGGGTACAGGGGGCACGGGGGGCACGGGGGGCGCGGGGCGCGGGGGGCGGGG